CATCACTGGCACTGCTGGCGCCTGCCGGACGCTTGCACGCAACCTCTCGGTCGAGTACAACCAATACCTCCCCTGCAGAAACAAGGAGCTAGTCCCACCCACACTCTTGCATTTCCCTTAGAACTAAAACAAAAATGCGCGTGCTAGTTTGTAGGCACAGTGGCGTTGGCAATAAACACGCCATCCTTATATCTGATGCCATTTGGCCTATCCAGGCCCTGCAGAGCGAGCCTGTGGTCGACGTGGCCAGACTCGGCTACACGAAACCGCTTGAGCCTGTACCACCTCTTTTTCTCGGCACTTTCAAGGAGCACTTCAAGGTCTTCCTTGCTTCCCTCAATGCTGCCGTCAACAACGACACAAAAGCCACCGATAACGACCCTGAGCCCCGTGGGGGTGGTGGGGGTGCTTAAAGTCGCTAGGGGATCACCTCGGCCTCTTCGCCGCTAGAGTAGCCCTGATCGGCGTCGTTGTCGCTCATAGAGTATCTGGCCTTGTTCTGCTTTCTGCTGTAGGCGGGGAAAGGGTGGGTGCAAAAGGCTGGGTAGCGGCGTACTTTTGTGGTAGAGGATGGAGAGGAAGGAGGCCGCCGTCGTTCTCTATTTATGCCTCGAGCACACAATCAACCAAAGCAGGTTTTTGGCAGAGGAGGAGAGGGGCGTTGCCGCGTCAGCACAGTTGCGTCCATTAACAGTGGAGGGGCACCATGCAACCCGGTGCATCTCCCCACACAGGCATTCGATGGGGGAGGTGGCAGGCCAGAAGGGGGCGGGGCCGTGCCGTGCAAAGCGGGAAAGGGCAGTCAGGGCCGGGCGTGCCTTGCTTCCCGCCATTTTCCTTTTCACCACTGCTGTGCGTTGGGCTCGCCCGGGCACGGAGCGTGCGAGCAAAGGCGCCGAGACATCCCTGGGCCATCCTGTCGCCGCTGCCGTAAAGGCGGCCGCTTTTCCTTTTGGCACGGGGCTTTGGCACAGGGGCGGCAGGTGGCTACCGCATGGCAAGCGCTGCTGCCGAGGCTTTGCCCCTGGATAAAGGAAGGAAATGCGGCACACCCCTAGCACACTCGGGGCAGTTCTGAGAAGGAGGGGGCGGAGAGCCGGGCAGCAGTAGTGACGCCCGCCGACGAGCGAGTCGTCGCAGCTCGGCAGGCCAGAGCCGGTCGAGCCGGCAAAGGACTCTTTTGAAGGTACCAGCTTTCATTGAACCATGCCGAAAGGCTAAACGTCCCGTAGCACCGCCCTACCCTACTGCCTCGCCCGCCGTGGGAGGCTTTGACCGGCTCAGCAGTCCACCGGGGCTAGCGGCTAGGCGGACGCCCCGCCTCTACCAACTAGAAATACGCTCGACGCCCGGGCTCCTCAAAGGGCTTTATAATGCTTCCGTTGCGCCGGTTCTCGAAAGGGTCGTCGCTGTCGTTGAGCGAGAAATCAATGTGCTTCAGATGCGGGTACCACTCCGAGTACTGCTGGACAAAGTCCATGATTTGCTTCTTGGGGGCGTGGACCGCCTTGAGCATGGCCAGGGTCGGGATCCGCAGCAGCAGGTACTTTGTCACCGGGACGACCATCTCCCACGACGGCTGGTCCTGGTTGACGTTGATGCTGACGACCTTTAGCTGGGTGTCGAGCGGTTCCACCACGCAGCCCTCGCCGGGCGCCGGCACCGAGATGTCGGCCTGGATCTCGTCCAGCGTCAGCCTCCAAAGCCCCAGGCTGGTCAGCCTGGGGAGGCTGCGGATAAGCCCCAGCATCGCGTCCAGGCTCGTTGGGGCCATTACCACCAGCCGCGTGAGCGACGTGCCCGCAACGGCCTCGGGTGGCACCGGCAGTCGGGGACTATCGACAGTCAGCTCGAGTGTCCTGGCATCCTGCGCACGCTCTAGGATGCGGTTGGCTGCAGCCAGCGCGGCGGGGTCACCATTGTTATCATCCACAATCTCGAGCGCAAAGTGCTCGGCCGTCAGAGGAGGCATCTCCGATAGGCGCTGAAGCACGGCAGCATCACCCGCGATGGTGACCCTTTTCATGCGCGGCGGGAGCACCATGAGCTCAAGCGGAGGACACGCACCCGACCGGCACGCCAGGTCAAGGTGACTCAGCGCTGGGAAGTGGAGCGTCCATGAGCGCCGGTCCGCTGTCTCCTGCGAGGAATAGCGCATGCAAGCAATCTTTAGGCGCGGGAACTCGATTGCCGTAGAGTCGCTGTCCATGCTGAACGGCACCAACGGGTGATTTGCAGGCCAGTCGTGCAGATACAGATCCTCGAGCCAAGCAGGATCCACACGCGGGAGCTGGTAGTTGTTTCTGTTGTTGTAGTCGAGAACAACACTCCTGAGCTGCTTGAGCAAAAAGCTGTGAGATACGGCGACCGGGGAATAGCCGCGGATATGGTGCAGCTGGTCTGCGTAGAGCTCTACCAGCCGCCCGCGGAGCTCAGTGGCGCTTTTGAGCAAGCCCGGGCCGTAAAACTTCAAACTGCGCACCCCGGGCATCACAGCAGCCAGCGCGGCGCAGGCTTCCCTTGCCTGGTCTGCGTACTTGGCCGCATTGACGCCGTAGTTCTCGCGGGGGTTGTTTGGAATCAGTACAATCTCCAGCATCTGCACGCCTCCCCACGCCTCTTCTACGTCACGCATCGCCTGGGCCACCTTGCCGAGGCCCGGAAAGGGATTGATGTTGCAGAACAGATGGACACGCACTTTTCTGATCGTGTGTGCGCAACCGACAGAGGCGATGGAGTCCAGATTTGATACTAGCGCGGCGTCTTCCGGCTCGGCATTGGTATCCACTTCACTGGGGCCGACCTTGGAGTTGTATTCGATGCGCACCTCGTTGTAGACAAAGGGCAGCACAAGGCGCCTCCACCTCTGGCACACCGAGAGCAACGACAGGTTGGTCTTGACCTTCTTTGCTGGGTCCACTCTGTCACGGACTGACGCCTGGAGGACCAGGCGGAGGACGTCGTCGGGCAGGTCGCAGAGGTGCATGGCTCGGCAGATGGACAAAAGTAGAGGGGTGCTTTCCTTGGAGTGGCAAAGGGAAAGAAAGGCGGGCAGACCGGCGACAGCAGGATGCGGCCAAAAGGGCGGCTTTTTTTTTTAAAGGTGCCAACATACATTGAACCAGACATTAAAAAAACGCCAAACATCCCGCAGCACAGGGTGCTGCTGCGGGGAGGCAGGGGGACACGGTCACTAGGCCGACCGGGTGGCGCTGGGGCTAGTGTTGGGGAGGAGGAGGAGGTGGTGCCGTGGATGCGTAGTGGAGGTCGATGTTGCTGCCGGGGTTGTCGGGGTTGACGTGGAAGCGTATTGTAGGTAGGCGACTCCCTTTGAGGGCACAGCAGTCGCGCTTTGGCCGCGGCAGCGCCAGCCCCAGCCCCTGGCCACGGCGGGGGGTGGGTCATCGCCGACGAAGCGTAGAACACCAGCACGGCCCCTTGGTTGGAGGAAAGGTCGATGTTGCTGCACGGCCCGCGTGCACCAAGCGTATCCGCTGCCATTTCCCGGTCTCTCACGTGACTTTTGTGTGTAGTTTGTCATAGAACCCGCGACCTAGGATCGAAAAGTCCGGCCTGTAGCCAGACAGCGTCAGTATGGCCGAGGGGTTAAGGCGACAGACTTGAAATCTGTTGGGCTCCGCCCGCGCAGGTTCAAATCCTGCTGCTGACGTCATCCCCTATTTTTGCGTGGCACGTGGGCTGTGGTTGGTGGTCCAGCCCGATCCGAGCAAAGACAAAAAACCAACCACCACTTCCACTTTGCCTTTTTTTTATTCTACACTGTCGCTGTCCGAGTCGTCGGCGTCGAGCGGGCTGATCCGGGGCGGCAGGCGGCCGGCGTCCTCGAGCGTGATGCGCTTTGTCAGGACGGGCAGCGTGACGAGGCAGACCTGGGGCTCGCGCAGGAGCTGGTCGACAAACTCGTCCATGTGGATCAGGGCCAGGGCGCCAGCCATGTCGCGGACGCGCAGCCTGCGGTAGTCGGCGTAGAGGGGCTCCAGCTTTTCGTAAATGTCGGCGGGGGGCTGTGTCAGGCGAAAGTACATGAGGGCCAGGGCGCGCAGGTATTTAAAGTCGGGCTGATCCACGAGCACGTCCACCATCTGGCGGTCGGGCTGCAGCTGCAGGAGCTTGAGGACCAGGCACAGGAACTCTGTCGGCCGGCGCGTCGTGCCGTAGCAGCCGCCGATGCACCGCAGCCCGACCGCCTTGTCCATCACCCCGGTCACGGTCAGCCCAAAGCACTGCTCCTTCCAGTACTGCGAGTCGTATATCCGCTGCCGAAACGTGGTTTCGATCAGAAACTGCGGGTTCATGCCGTGGACGGCCTGGGCCGTGCTGGCGGTTCTGTTTGCCATTCTTTCTGTTTGTCTGTTTGTCTGTTCTGCTCTGTTCTGCTCTGTTCTGTCTGTGAGTGTGGAAAGGAGCTGTAAAGCATGGTTTTTTTTTCTGCCCCAGTTTTTAGTGGGTGGTTTATTCTTGCAAGCAAACAGCAGACCCGCGATGGGAGCAGCTCACATGGGTTGTTGTTGTTGCTGCTTCTTTGGCGCAATGTTGGTCTTGTTCCCCGACGAGAGGATGATCCCGGCGGCGCCAATCTTGCGGTGGGCGTTCTCCATGACCTCGCTGTGGCGGTGGGTGGTCTCGGCGCTGGTCAGCTCCAGCTGCCTGCGCTCGGCGGTGCGCTTCTTGATGAGCTTGTCAATCTTGTTCTTGCCGCTGTAGTGGCCGTGGAACGCGTGGGAGAGCTGCTTGTAGGCCTCCTTTGTCGTCAGCTGGCGGCCGGTCTCGTCGGTGTACTCTAGCTTGACGTCGGGCTTGTAGTCGCGCATGCGCTCCTCGTACTCGCGGGCCCACTTGCGGTCCAGGGCCTCCTGCTCGCGGGCCTTGAGCTCCTCCAGCTCCTGCTGGGTCATCTCGTCCGCCTTGCCGCGGCGCGGGGCGCCGGGCTTTTTGGGGCGCGCGGGCTCGGGCTCGGGCTCGGGCCTTTTGCCAAGCTTGCGGATGCGCTGCAGCTCGCTCTGCAGCGCGGCGTCCTTGCGCCGGTGCTCGGCTATCCAGTGGATGCGGCTGCGCTGCTGCTCCTCGCGCTGGCGTTGCTCGGCGGACGGCGCCTCCAGCATGTTGCGCTGCCGCAGGAGGCTCAGGGTCGCAGCCAGGCCTGCTCCGACCGAGGGCTCCTGCTCCACGGGCTCTGGCCTCTCCTGCGGCGTGTCCTCTGCCTTGTCCGCTGCTGGTCTTGCCGTCGACGTTGCCAGGCCCTTGCGCTGGACCGCTGGCTGGGGCGCCTTGGCGTTCCGTACAATCTGCGCCTCGCTCTCCTCTTCTTCTTCCTCTTCCTCTTTTCTCTGGGCATTTGGAAGCAGCGGCTGTGGCTGTGGCTGTGGTTGTGGTTGTGGCTGTGGTTGTGGCTGCGGTAAAGCTGGCGGCGACTTGGCAGCAGCAGCGGCGGCAGTGGCAGCAGCGACCGACGCCTTGAGGCTCTGGACAAACTCGATGGTGCTGGAGAGCACAAGACCAGGATCGGCTTCGTCGGCGGGGTGCTCGACAGGCTCAGCGGGCTCGATCGGGCTGCTGCTGCTGCTGGCGGGGCGCGGGGCGGCCTTGGCCATCTCGGCGCGGCGCACAGCGGCAATAGCGCGCTGCATATCGTCGTCGTCGTCAATGGGGTCCAGGTCGTCGGCGGGGGCGGCGCGGGTGAGGAGGGCGTTGACGCGCTCGCGGTCCGCGTCGGTCAGCTGCAGCAGGTCGTTTGTGGTGGACGTCTTTTTGGCGCGCTTGACGGGGCGGCGCGACGACGACGACGACAACGACGACTTTGGTTTCTTTTTGCGAAAGAGCGCAGCGGCCTCCTCCTCGGTGTAAAAGTCGCTGATGGGGCGCGGGGCGGCCATGTCCAGCGTCTGGGCGCCCGGGCGCACCTCCGGCCCGCCATCGGCATCATCGTCGTTGTCGTAGGCGCCAGTGTCGACCCGGCCGCCCTTGCCAATGACCAGGGCGCCCTGCTCCGCGTCGTCCTCGAGGGCGGCGTGCGCAGTGTCAATGCCGGGCATCTCGCGCTTGCGCTTCCGGCGCTCGGCGGCCTTGCGCGCGCGCTCGGCGTCCCGGGCGGCCACGCTCTCCAGCTGCAGCCCCTCGTCGCCCTCGTCCTCGCCAAGCTCGCCAATCGTCCGGTCCTGGAGCGTGAGCACCTGCTCGGCGCCCTGCTCCAGGGCGCCGATCCCGCCCGAGACCCGGAGCCCGGCCAGGTCGTCGGCAGTGTACTCTGGGCGCGGGGCCCTTTCCTCTTCCTCCTTTTTCAGCAACTGCTGCTCCTCTTTTTGCGCCAGCGCCTGCTGTCGCCGCCGCCGGCTGCGCTCGACCCACCGCGCCGCGTCCAGTGGCTGGTCGCCATCAGCGCCGCTGGGCATTTTTTTGTTTCCGAGCAGGAGCGCAGAGCAAAGAAGAAAAAAGAGGTTGCGGGTTTTGCCGCATATCGCCCCAAGTTTCAGCCTAGTTGTCCCTGCAGACAAGAACCGCCCTGTGATGGGAGCGGATCACATGAACAAACCGCGCACGTGACATTGAGGGCACGCTGATCCGCCCCCCCCAGTGACGTCGAGAGGGTGGGTGGGTGTGGCTTTCCTGCTCCGCGGCCCTCCCCTGCCTGAATCACGACGACGCATCTAAGGCGCAAATTCGCAGAGAGCAGCAGCGGGAATGGAGGAGCAGTACCGGCAGTGGCGGCGCAAGGCGATCGAGGAGTACGGGCGGGCGCGCGGGGCGGACCGCAGCGGGGCGGGGCTGCGCGAGCTGGAGCGGCGGCTGACGTTTGACGAGTTCAAGCGGGCGGTGATGCAGGGCGACGACGGCGGGGCGCTGCTCGAGTACGTCAACGGGCAGGTGCTGTTCCAGGCGGGGGTGGACTTTGAGAGCAAGCCCATGGTGGTGTTTTGCGCGTGCCGGCTGCCCAGCCCGCAGCAGGTCGACTACGAGCGGCTGCTGAACCTGATCATCCTGCGGCTGGACGAGTTTGTCGAGAGCGACTACACGGTGGTGCTGCTGGCGGGCGGCGTGCAGCACGCGCCCGGGTGGGGCTGGCTGGCGCGCGCGTACCGCCGCCTCGACCGCCGGTACCGCAAGAACGTCAAGAACGTCTACGTCGTGCACCCGTCCATGTGGGCGCGCGTGCTCTTCCAGGTCTTTGGGCGGCTGGTCAGGTACGTTTCCCTCTTTCCGCTCTTGCTCCGCACTGCGCGCGCCGGGCACAAGGGGGGGGGGCGCCGTGGCTGTGGGCCGCCCCCCCCCTCGCGGGCAGAGACGCATTGTCTGCGTTTGCCGCATTTGGACCACCCGGGCCTCCCTTTGTGTGTGTTGTCCGCCTGCATCCCATCCTTGCGTGTGTGGGCCCAGGGCCCTTTGCCTCCTCCCTGCCCCGTCCTTCCTTTTCTTTTTTCATCCTCCAGCCTCGGTTGTTGCGCGGGCGAGAGGGCCTCCCTTCTTTTTTAGGCTGTCCCTTACTGCGCCTCTGCTCGAGCAGCAGCTGGGGGGGGAGGCCTACTGCGCTCAAAGCGGGCCGTCCATTTCTGTTCCCGCATCCCGCTAAACGTGTCTGGCCTCTTCTCTCTTGTCTCTCTCTCTCTCTCGCACTTGTTTCGGGATGGCGATTCCGTCGTTTCTGCAACGCATCGGGCGGGCGTCGCTGGACTCGGCGCGCGCGCAACCACCACCACCACCACCCCCGCGCGGCAACAAAAAACAACAACAACAACAGCCACCACCGCTGGCGGGCGGCGTCCATCGTCGGGGCGAGGCGAAACGGCGGTCGCTTGATGTGAACGTGGTGCTGGCGCGGGACGGCAGTAGCCAAAAGTTCTTTGCCAAGGTGGCGTGGGTCGACACGCTGTCGCAGCTCGCGGCCATGGTGCCGGTCAGCCAGATCAACATGCCGCAGGCCGTGCTAGAGTACGTATCACGTGCGGGGCTTTCTGGCGGGGGGGGGAGTCTGGTGCGCCTGGGCCGCCCCACATGGTCAATGCGCTTTGCGTCTTTCTGCTTGGGCCCGTCTTTTGCGCTTTGGCTCGGGAAGGGGGGGGGCGGACGCCCATGACGCTGACCCACTGCTGCTGCTTGGTGCTGCTGCGCGCAAATGCTGTTCTGCATCCCTAGGCACAACCTGCGGGTCGAGGGCGCCGCGGCGGTGCGGGCACCACCACCGGAGGCGGCGACAGCGGCGGCGTTCGGAGCCCCGCTCGCCATGGACGGCGGGCGGCTGCCGCGGCCGGTGCGCGAGTGCATTGCGTTTGTGCGGCGGCACGGGCTGGAGACCGAGGGCCTGTTCCGGCGCTCGCCGCCGTCGACTGCGCTGCGCGCGGCCAAGGACGCATACAACCGCGGGCTGCCGGCCGACCTGGACGCGGGCGGCGTGCACGTGGCGGCGGTGCTGCTCAAGCTGTTCCTGCGCGAGCTGCCGCCGCCCGTCTTTGGCGACGCGCCGGGCAGCTGCAGCTACGAGACGGTGCGCGGGCTGCCGCGGCAGGCGGACGACGGGCCCGCTGCTGGCCAGCCAGGCGACTCCCCCCGCCTGCGCTACGTGCGCGACGTCGTCCTGGCCGCGCTGCACCCGCAGTGCCGGCTGCTGCTGTGCTACGTCAGCGCGCTGCTCAGCGTGGTCGCGCGCTGCGAGCCCGC